AATGAGAATTTGGGGTAGACTCTAATTCTCCATAGCCTCCCGGTTTATGTTCTAAAAAATGGTACCCGATTTCTCCTTGTCGGTGCCCCTTGGGCTTAGACCCTTAGTCCTAAGCCCATTACAAGCTTATGTGGACTAAGTTAAACTCGAGAGGAAACATTCCCTTATGCCCATACGAAGAATAAATTCACACGAAGACATAAGGTATATGAATCCCGAAGGTTACTTGCTAGGCGCATACAGTGAATAAATTTACACGAAGCCGTCGCTTTCACCCCACTTAAAGGGTTCGGAGCCGGGTATAGAGTCAGAGATGAAAACTTTTTCAAAATTTGAAATCATTGAAAAAACGTCAGTACAACTATTTACTTGAAAAAAAAAAAAATCAAAGATAAATAATTGGAATCGAATAAATAAATTAAAATTTAAACTTGTAATTTTGCTAAAAAAGATAACCAAAAATTAATTTCGGTCTGACTCACTTACCTGTCCCCAGCGAAATCGCCAAGCTGTCGTAAATGTCTTTCGGTTGGACCCTGGAATTGGGCTTCGACTTGAAAAATGTGGATTGGAGTCGCCACCGACTATTTTAAAACGAATTTAGGTGGGTCGGACACCATCTTACATGATCTGCGTTTTTACCAGAACTGTGTCAGGTTCGGGAGTCGGTTACGGTCAAGGAAGGATTAACACCCTTGAACTGCCCTTTCGGTACCAATTAATTTGCCGGTTGTCTTAGTTGCAAAAATTCGAAATTAAAATTAAAATTTAACAGACCCGATTCAAATTACTTACAATTGATTGATTTGAATACCTTAAAAGATAAAAAACGTTAGATTCATAGCGGAGTATAAAATCGAATTAGGATAGTAAGTGTGCAAATGTGAGAATAATAAATAAAACAAGAAAAAATGAAAATAACAAAACACGTAAAAATTATAAAAATAAACAAAATGAATAAAATGTTAAAAAACGAGATATAAAATAAAAGGAAAAAATTAATGGAGTAAAAAAATAAAAAAGGTAAAAGAAATTAAAAAGGAATAAAAATAAGGTGTACATATAAAGTAGTATTTACTAAAATAAATAAAAATAATAAATATATAATACTAAGTAAAACAAATAAAAAATAAAGATATACATGATATTAAGAAAAAAAATAATAGAAAAAATAAAATAAAGTAAAAATATAATATATAAATAAATAAAAACAAAAATAGAATATTAAGAAAATATATAAAAACGTATAAAATATAATATTAAGAAAAACAATATACATAGTAAATGGAGAAAAATTAATACATCTATATATATATATATATAATGATAAGATATATATATATATAATAAAAATAATATAATATAAATAAAAAAAGGAATATAGTAAATAAATAAAAAATATAATTAAATATATATATATATAGGGGACGAAATTAATATAAAAGTAAAATTAAAGGGTAAATTTCAAGGTAAATTAAAGATTAAGATTGACTTAGGTAGAATATTAAATACTTTAAAAAATGAACATGCCTCGGGAGTAGATCTAGGTTCGAAACTTCGAAACCCCACCCTTTTTTGGTCATCGGCGCAACCTACACTTTGGGTTATTCAAACCAAATCTCAAGAAAAATAACATGCACATGCGAGAAATGAACGAATCAATGTAAAAAAATGGTACCTTTTATTTCCTTTTTCGAATCGTTTACAATAGCTTTGCCTTTGTATTTTTCGTGCTTCCTCTTTATCTTGTATGTAAATCGTGTCTTACAAATGGGATGATTGCATGTTTATAGTGAAAAAACTAACTATTTTTAGAATCCTATTAACAATAGAATCCTAATGCAACTAGACTCCTTGCTCGGTTGTTGCACGTTTGTTGGTGTGGTTGTTGCTTTAAAAGATATGGTGGTGGAAAAGTCCTCCTAGGAGAGAAAATCTTGCTAGTTCTATCTTTTAAGAAAATAGGTGTCTACACAGAGGAAGACTGGCATCGGCCGGCAGTCTTCCGCCGCCGATCGCCGCCGTCGCCGGCCATCATCCACGGTGGCCGAAAATTCCTAACCCACCAAATCGAAGCATTGTTTATCTTAAACCCAAATCTAAGCTTAGTTTTGCTTAATAATCTACCAAACTCTATAGATCTACGTTAATACCTTCGGCTTTTATACTTCTCGATGGTGTTGAAGCTACAACGACGATAGTAAGCACTCTTTTCAAATTTTTTTCGTTTGTTTGTTGTCGTGGTGTCTCTGTCTTGCTCTCTGTTTTGCTTTGTTGTATGTTTTGGCTTGCTCTCGGGTTGCTGTCGTCCGTTTTTGCTTGCTGTCGATGTTGGTTGCTCCTTCTTTCTCCTTCTTTTCCTTATTTATGTTGTTGTTGGTTGTGCTTTTTGCCCCCTCCTCTATTCGTTTTTTTTTCTTTTCACAGATAATGGCTTTTATAAGCCTTAATGATGTTGCCCTTAGACCGGTCCTAAGGATGGCTTTCGATGAGTCACCAAACTATGGTGATGACTCACCATAAACGCAATGTGTGTGGTTGATATGCTTGCTGGAAACTGTTGGAACGAGGACGTAGAGGGCTGCCATCGTTGCTGGAATTGCAACGTGTAGGGCTGCTCGGGTAAAAATGGCTTACAGAACCCACATTCATGGAACGATCATCGCCTTCAATCACGATTTGCCCTCTCTTTTTGTCAAACAATCCCTTCTAAATCATCATTATGTTAAACTAACTTCCATAAGTCATTTCAGCAAAGCTAAAGTATATGGGTTTTCCCCCCGCCCAACTTAAACAAATCACAACTCTTTTTCATACATAAAAGCGGCCATAAAACTTGCGTTTTTCTTCTGAACATCTTTCCTGAACCATTACTTTGACCTAATGAATCCATTGTTTTTTGTTGATCTCCTTGTATGTAATCACAGAGCTCTCTTGTCTGCTCTTAATGATGAAGGTTTTGCTCTTTATTCTTCAGACAATCGCTCCAAGGTGACACCGGAAGCTATCTCATCAACTGGAACTCATCTGATCCAATCCATGTTCATGGCATGGTGTTTCATGTAGAAACCAGAAAGTTCATGCTCTTGTCGTTCCGAACATCGGACTATCCAGTTATCTGTCTCCTGCACTCGTAAATCTCTCCTCGATTCGTCATGTTAACCTCAAGAACAACTTGTTTCGGGAATATTACCTACCGATGTCTTTGCTGCAACTAGGCTGAAGCTTAGAACTTTCAGGTAATTCATTGTATGGACCTCTGCCAACCGAAAGTCGGGAACCTCAAGAGCCTACAAACCTTGGATCTTTCACGGAATTCCTTCAATGGCACGGTACCTTCATCTATAGTTCAATGCAAAAGGTTAACTGCATTTTTCTCAGTCAAAACTGTTTCATTGGCTCCCTCCCTGAGGAACTTGGAAACAGTTTAGTTGGCCTTCAGAAGCTCAATCTTTCTTACAAACAGCTTCAGCGGCTCGATCCCGGTGACATCAGAAACTTGTCGAATTTCTCGGTACTCTCGATCTATCTCACAATTTCTTCACTGGTGAGATTCCAGCTAGCCTAGGAAGTCTATCCTAGGAAGTGTATATTGATCTCAGTTACAATAATCTTACCGGTCCGATACCACAAAATGGTGCTTTAGAAAATGCGGGACCAATAGCTTTCATAGGGAACCCTCTGCTTTTTGGATTGCCATTGAAGAATTCATGTATCCAGACATTCCAATGCAGATTCTCATACATTATTTCATAATTCAGTTCAGAGTTCCGGCGGAAACTCGATAATAGGTGGTAAAGGAGGTCATTCGAGCTCAAGTCGGGTGGTTAAAAACGTGCATTTGTGATGGCGGGAGGTCTGCTTCATTGGATTCTTGTTCTCTTATTGTACAAGAAGGCCTCCGTCTGCAACGGAGTTAGGAAAGTCACCGGCTATCGTCTCGAAGCGAAATGATGATAGGGAGGGACATCTTCTGCTTTGCGAATAAAGACAGGACACTCTATCAGAAAACATGGAGCAGTGCAACCTGTTCCGTTAGACACCGAGGTCGACTTCGATCTTGAACAACTTCTTAAAGCTTCTGCTTTTGTTAACCTTCGAGCTTGTTGCTTCAGATGACGAGAAGCTGCTCATATATGATTACATAACCAATGAAAATCTTACTGCAGCAATTTATGGTAACTTACTAAATTCTGCTATATGTTTTCCATATTGTGTTCTAGGAATTACCCTGATAATTGTTCTAATATAATCAGGAACCAGGAATCCCCTTTAAACCACTTTCGTAGCCGGTTCGAGTAAAAATCATGAAAGGAATAGCCAAGGGACTAGGATTCTTACACGAATTAAGTCCGAAAAGGTACGCCCATGAAAACTTGAAGCCAAGCAACATTCTTGGTGAAGATATGGAGCCTCGTATTACAGACTTTGGACTCGGTCACCTCACCAACATAACCGATGAATCACCAGAATTCCAGGTGGAGCAACAGATGGCAATCTGGACATCACAACAAAGTTCTCCATAACGAGTTAACTGCGATAAATCAATCCTCAAACGGATCATGTTACGAGCACCGAAGCCTTGAATGACACGAAACCATCACAGAAATGGATGTTTACTCATTTGAAGTGATCTTAATGGAAGCGCCATACTCAAGCTTGCATTAGCCTGCACCCATAAGAGTCCTGATAGGAGATCTTCAATGAGGTTTGTGAGTTAGTTTCGAGAGTGACTTCATAAGCTTAGGGGAAATCATAATACGTTTAGCATCAATTAGATCTGAGGAGAGAGAGTATAGTCAGGCAAATTTCTATATATATGAAAATATTCATTCAGTTTCTCAGAAGAATGTATTCATCATTTACTATGACTGTTAGCAGAATAAATATATATTTAATTCTCTAGGTGAGTCCATTATTTCACCTTTTTCTCTTATTGCCAATGTTTCCTTCCACCTTTAATGACATGAAAATTGATATGATTTTTCTGTTTGTACCCTCATTGAGTAACAACAAGAAGATGGAGAGACAATTCAAACCATAAAACACTTTGTTTGGAACACTACAAATTCAAGAACATCCAAGAAAAACAAACAAAAAAGTAAAAAATAAAATCAAGTCAAAGAGGAAGATCAAATTGTCTACTTATAGGGCGGGCAAGCTACACATACCACTACAAAGTTACCAAGAAACCTACCAAAATTGTTTTCCCAGATGGAAAATCAAGTCATTATGGTTCCGGTGCTGTAATCTGTTGTTCAGCATTGTCTGCATGCAACTTTGCCAGAGCATCAGACAACAGCAATGCTGTGGCTTTCGTCATTGTTTGATACTGTGAAGTCAACATTGGTGGGGTTGGTTGAGATTTGTATATTTGGACTGGAGCAGGGTCATCATCAAGTCTGTTAGTGTTATTCACAGTTTCTCCAGCGGCGACACCAAATGATTGTGGTTGGTGCTGAATTTGAGCCCCTGCAAACCTTGTTTCAGGCTCGATACGAGGTAAATGAATATGTTGGTGTGCTGCTGGAATTTTTTGGTATTGTTGGGAGGATAAGTCAACTACTGATTGAGGTGATGCTGCAACCTCCTTCAGAACCACTTGAGTTGGAATCAAAGAAGCATTTGGAAGAGCTTGAGGATGACCAGAACAGATAGCCGTTGCTTGAACCATACCGTTTTTCACAGGTATATTGTTGGGCTGAGTCGGTGCAACAGGGACATATACATTGATAAGGCTGATTTGATTGATAATGGAGTTGTTGTAGCTGCTGCCGTGGCACCGGAAAATAGACTGGGTAACATGACATAACATGCTGTGTTTCAGGCATGCTCGGCAGCACGTAACGAGTGTCCTCATCAATTACTTGTGTTGTCGTTGAGGTAAATGCATCAGATTTACCGGAAACCCAGAAGCATGAATTGTTTGTGCACCTCAATTCCAGAAGAAGGATCAGTAAATTCTTGTCTGATTCAAAGGGTTAGAACAGAGCATGTTCTCCATTGAAGCAATGTGGCCAACTTGGTCTTGAAAAGCTCCAGTCTGTACGTTAGAAACAGCATTCCCAACAAATTCATCGCTGTTGGAATGAGCAAATTTCAGAGTCAGAGGAAGCATAAACTATGAAACCATTCATTCATCTTCAGCATATATGGAGTAAAATCTAAAAGATCAAACTAAAGCAACCAGCACTGTCTTTTCAGCTCTATTGGATTAAACCCATATGTTGTAACCGGTTTTCGTCCGGGCACGAAATATTTAACTTGACGGGAAAAGTGATATGAATAAATGGTTTTGAAAATAATTTGGGAGTCGCCATCGGACTTTTGGATCAGTAGGTCGAATACCTAAAAAATATCTTTTAAAGAGTTTTAAGAAAACATCAATTAAAAGATAAAATGATCTGCGTTTTAACCAAAATTCGTTCTTTTTAATAATAAAAAGGGATCGTGGTCGGTTACGTTTAGGGAAGGATTAGCACCCTACAACGCCCAAAATTGGTACTTTATTAACTATAAATTGTCTCTATTATTAAAATTTTAAAAATTCAAAAATATTTAATTTATAATTCTACTATTTCAAAATTTTAAAGAAAATATATTAATATACATAAATAATATATTACTTATTTAGAAATATCAGAAAAGTGCTTCTAGGTGCTTTAAGACAGCTCTTTTATTTAATATTTAAAAATAAAAAAAAACATTTTATTTAATATAGTAAGATATTTATTTATTCAAAAAAAAAATATCAGAAAAGAGCTTCTAGGTACCTTAAGACAACTTTTTTCTTGATATTAAAAATAAATAAATATCAAAATATAATTATTTTTCTTAAAAGTAATTTATAAAATTAAATTTATAATAGGAAAATAGAATAAATAAATATTATATATTTATAAGACTATATATATTGACATATTAATAAAGAATAATAATAATAATAGTAATGATAATTAAATATGTATGAACATAAAAAAAAAGGTAACATATGATTAAATAATATTTAAAAATACAATTAAAAAATAATAAAGCTCGTAAAATAAATGAAAATATTTAACTTAGGGACTAAATTATAATATAATAAAATTAAATACCTATTTATAATTAATTATTAAAATTATAGGATTAAAAATGCTATTTTCCTTATTTATTAATTTGATGACTAAAATAAAAATAAAAAAAAATTCAATATCAGATTTAAAATAAATTAAAAATATATACTCGGGATTAAAATATTATTTATTAAAACTAAAGGACTAAATACGTATTTATCCTAAATATATTATTTAATAGAAAGGACTAAAATAAATAAATCTAAAATTAAGGACCGAATTAAAAGGATATAAATTTGATTTAGTGACTAGAATGTAAGAGTTACAAGTTTAGATGGCTACTGAAAGGGTTTAACCTTTAGTTAATTACACAGATACCCCTCCCCCTTAAACGACGTCGTATGGAAGAGGGTTTATAAACCCCAACCGGTTGGCCCTTCGGGCCAACCATTCTTTCTTCATTTCTCTTCTTCTCTCTAACAGAGAGAAGAAGATTTCTCTCTGGCTTCTCTCTAAAATTAGAGAGAAGCCGGCCCGGTCAGCCACCGCTGTCGGCTCCGATTGCTGTCGCCGGCCACCGTCAGCGGTGGCCGGAAATTACAAAACCCACCCAAATCAAAGCCTCTGTTTTTCTATATCTAGATCTAAGGTTATTTTAGCTTAAAACCTTACCAATCGTCGTAGATCTAGGATATTTCTCTTCGACGTTTTGGTTCTCTGATGATTTGTGGAGGCTCTCACGACGGCGATTTTCTCGGTAGTCTCTTTTCTCTTCTTTTGGTTTGTATTTCCTAGGATCGTTGGTGTAGTTCTTGCTTTGTTGGTTGCTGTGTTCTCTTTCTCTGTTTTTTTTTCTTTTCTGTTTTTTTTTTTTGTCGTTCTCTGCCGTCTGTGGCTGTCCTTTTTCTTTCTTGCAGGTGGGGTGGCTTTTATAGCCACCACCGAGGCTCTCGTTGGACCGGTTTCAGAGATGAAAGGCCCGGTGAGTCACCATAGCTATGGTGGTGACTCACCATAGGGCTCAACGTGGGTAGCTTCTCGACGTTATGAAGTGTCGGCAATGGCGGTGGAGGCGTCGGCAGTGGGGCATTGGACCACCTGGCAGTGAGGCGGCGGCTGGGATTCTTGAAGCATCAGAGGCGGCTGGGATTCTGGAAGCATCAGAGGCGGCTGGGATTCTGGAAGCATCAGAGGCGGCTGGGGGTGGCTAGGGTTTAGAAACCCTAGCTGAAACCTTACTAATCGTTTAGGGTTTCTGGTTATCTGGACCGGTTCTGGTTGGTTTATAACTGGGCCGGTCCAGTTGTAATTATTTATTAAATAATAATAATATATAATATTGATAATAATAATAAATAATGATAATAATAATAATAATTATAATAAATAATAATACTAATAATAATATAATTTTAATAATAATAATAATAAATTTAAATGAAAAAAATGATGTCTACAGCTGCCCCTCTTTGCTCATCCTTGTGTTAACAAGAATAGAGCAAAGACGAAAAAGACAATAATTTTTTCATTTGGCTTCTTTCGAGCAGGATAGAAATGTTTGAAAACATCATGCACTGAAGGACTTACAGATGACCGAAGGTTTTGAAAAACATTAAAAAGCTCCTGAAGGCTTTTTGGAAACATCATGCACTGAAGGACTTACAGATGTGGGAAATAGTTTACTAAGTAAGAAAATATGGAAATTGTTTCTTACTATTCAACGATTTCATTTTCAGAAAAGATTGAATGAGAAACTATGGAAATCGTTTTCTCATTATGTTTTTGAAATAACATGTTGATTGGGTAACATGGCCTAATCTCAAGATAATTTTCATTCTTGTGGATTGTATCAATCTCTTCTTCACTTGATTAATATGGAGTGTTGAATAAATTCTTCTCTTTCTTCAGAAGAGTTCTTCTCATTATGAACTTTCCGCTGGGGATGATGTTGACCTATTTCCTGTGATAGAGTCATTCAAAAAGTTGAATAAGCTCTTGATGAGTTCTTCTCATTATGAACTTTCTCTAGAAAGGCTGATGCTAATCTATCTCCTTCTGTGATAGAATTATGCAAAAAGTTGAACAAATTCTTCTTATTATGAACTTCTTCTTCCTTCTTCAGATGAGTTCTTCTCATTATGAACTTCTCTGGAAAAGCTGCTCCATCAAGTGATGGATTTGAGCAAAAGGTTGAACAAATTCTTCTTATTATGAACTCTTCTTCCTTCTTCAGATGAGTTCTTCTTATTATGAACCTTTTCTGGCAAAAATAATCCATCAAGTGATGAATTCAGACAAAAGGTTGAACAAATTCTTCTCATTATGAACTTCTTCTTCCTTCTTCAGATGACGAGTTCTTCTCATTATGAACTTCTCTGGCAACAATAATCCATCAAGTGATGAATTCAAACAAAAAGGTTGAACAAATTCTTCTCATTATGAATTTCTTCTTCCTTCTTCAGATGAGTTCTTCTCATTATGAACTCTACCTGGAAAGGCTGATCCAGCAAATGATGGATTCAAGTAAAAGGTTGAACAAATTCTTCTCATTATGAACTTCTTCTTCCTTCTTCAGATGAGTTCTTCTCATTATGAACTCGAACTGGAAATACTGAATCATCGAATGATGAATTCAAGCGAAAAGTTGAACAAGTTCTTCTCATTATGAACTTCTTCTTCCTTCTTCAGATGAGTTCTTCTCATTATGAACTCGAACTGGAAATACTGAATCATCGAATGATGAATTCAAGCGAAAAGTTGATCCATCATATGATGGATTTGAATCTTTGCTAAAATTTTGAAATTCCTGTCAAATATTCAACATGGATAAATGAATGAAAATGCTCCTATTTTGCAAATGTCTAAATATGATGCATGAATGTTAATGCAATCTTCATTTGACTTCAAAATGGTGAACTCGGTTTTCCTCCACTTCATCATTTATTGCCAGGGTTACCTCTGGATATCAGTGTAGCAACTTATGCTATCAAGCTTGCATTTCTGAAGAACTATCTGATCAACTTGTATCTTTATGTATTCTTTGCTTCATGAAAGTCTCAGAAGAATTGTTTTATTTGTGGAACTCTTGTCGTAGTCAGAATTATGACCTTAATGCCCCATTTTGTCTTGGATAAAACCAACTTTATTTGTTTGGACTTGTGTAGAAATCCCATAAAGTTTTCATCTTTGAAAAGAGAATCTGTCATCTTTAAAAAGAGAATCTATCATCTTTGAAGAGTGTAGATGTAGATATGCCTGACTCAGCAGGGATTAATTAAGAGAGTAGAGTTTGTTCTGATTTGACTCTTGAAACATCACAAGGAGGATTTATTACAATTCCTTTCATGTCTCCACATCTAATTGGATCTCGAACAAAGCAACTCAAACCATATCATGTAAAGATGTTTAACAACAACCTATTATTTGATCTTAGTTGGCTCCAATAGTTTCTTGTTGTTAAAATTTCAGCTCTCTTCTGTGGAAAGAAATCTTCATCATATCTCAACTTCTAATCTTGGGGTTGAAGAAGACAGACTTCATCTTGGATCAAAAATGGAAACCATATGATCACAACATTGGTTCAGCACCATAATCACTGGTTCATAAAACATTTGACAATACATTCATCTTTTCCTGTGGTTTCTGTCGAGATGTAAAACACTTGACAACACATTCATCCTTTTCTGTGGCTTCTGCTCAGATGTTTGTAAAACATTTGACAACACATTCATCCTTTCTTGTGGTTTTTGCTCAGACGTTCATAAAGCGTTTGACAACACATTCATCCTTTTCTGTGGCTTCTGCCAAGATTTCTTAATCATTGAAGCTCTTTGCCTAGTGTTCAAAGCTTTTGAATGATGTCATAAGACCATTTGAGAGCAAAACTCAGTGGAGATTCAAGTGTGATATTAGTATGACCAAAAGTTGGTCAAATTCACAAAATGTACTAGTGTCGAATTGAATAGGAGATATCAACTGATCACGTTTTCATATCGGGCAAAGGCAAATATAATACTGATCACGTT